GTGAAGAAACTTAGGTATAAAATGCAACGTTCTGTTGAGGAGTGGTGTTTTAACAGCTCAGGTGTCACTGAACAAATATTGTTACCCATTCCAGGGATTGTAAAAGCAGACCCCAAAGTGCCAGAAGACAAAATTTTACCTCCCCCTTCTCCGAGACCTCAGAACTCTATTTTTGACACAGATGAAGAGAAATCCAAGGTAAACCTTAGGGTTTTCATGCCTGTCCCCCCTTTGATTTGTACTGATGAGAAAACAGGCTTAGTCATATTTTGGGGGCTTGGTGCTGTTTCAGTCAGAATATCTTCAGAATAATGCTAATACTTCTCACTGTACAACAGCTAGACAATTCTTTGATGCTTTGTCAGAAAAGTTTGTGTAGTAAAAAGTAAAACTTTTTTACAGAAAACCAAAGTTTCTGTTAAACTTTCCTGAGGGAGGGTTTCTGCAGGTCTTACAGAAGTTCTGCAGAGTCAGAGTTCCTATTGCCAAACAGTGTGTGCAGGCAGCTGTGAGAGGCAGCAATATAGTCTGGATTAGATTATGACATAAACCCATAGACATAAACCCACATATTTCCAGGATTATAGAAACTATTACGACGGTGGGTGTCTCAATATCTGCTCTCATACGATGTGTGCCCATAGTAGAGACTGCTGCTCACCGCTGTCCAATGCTCTCCCCTCAACAGCTTTTAGCAAGGCTTTTAAAGAGCAACCACTCGGAGGACTTGCAGGCTGCCAACCGTCTGATCAAGAGCATGATTAAAGAGGTAGGCAGCTCCTTGTGTCAGAAGCCTCATTTGCAGCCAGGGAGGGTGGGAGGGGACTTGGCAATTCATTTTTTAACAGTGGGTCCTTAATACCTGATCTCCATAATGCTGCCTCAGGGGAGGGACGATTTTCAGTATTTGTTATTCCGAAATTACAGTGTGGGACTGTTTTGTTTTGTTTTGTTTCCCTAAAATATGCCACTGCCAGGAAGAGGGGAGTATTTATACCCATGAGCCTGTCTGGTGGGACACTTCCAGGTTAGTGGGATCCTGGCAGTAATACTGCGCTAGTGATAGAAAGTTTCCAAAAAGAAACTCAATTCCCAGGTGGAAAAAAAGCCACATCTGTACAGAACTGCCTCTTTTCTGCACACAGTGTGTGTGTCTGGTGTGTCTGTTTTCATTTCCCATCTGAAAGGGCACTCCAGTTCTCTGCAGAAATCAGTGATTGGGTTTGCTTTAACAAAATCCCTGCCGTCATTTTGAGAGTGCCCTTCTGTATGGCAGAAGCCACCAACTCCCAACTCTAATTTTGAAGTCTTACTCGTCCCTGTGGTGAAATGAATTCTTATGCATGAACACCCGGTCCAGGGTGCCCTGAGAAAGGCACCTTCACCCTTGACAGGGAGGTGTGGTGCAGCACTGATCCTGGGCTGTTGGGGGGTGAGTCCGTGTGCCTCCTCTACCTGCAATAAGATATTAATAGGAAGCAACTCCATGAGTGTGATCCAAAGCAACACAGCCCAGCACATGTGCTGGCTATATTAGCCCAATCATCATCTACTTTTCTTTCATTTTTCATCAAAGGAACAAGAAAAGTCAGCTAAGGTGTCCAGAAGAGTGAACACCATCAGTGAGGTTTCTGAGAACGTTAAATGTATGAATGAATTACTAGAAAACTACAAGAAACAAGAACTATCCAAATCTGACCATGAGACCCTACAGGTAAATGCTCTTTTTCCTGCATAAGAGGTTCTTTTGACTGGCCATGGCTGGGAGGGCTTCGGGCAATAGGATTCAAAGGGCAGCATGGGGCACTCGGCTTCTGCCAGGGAAGGAGTTTCTAATATATTTGATAAATAATGTGATGTAGTGGAAGTTGGAATGGAACCATCTCCTGCTGTGCTTGTTTTGAGTTTCTGTCCAGTTTAGCAGCTCTTCTTGTGGTATCTCATGGGGAAATGGTTCCTCCTCCAGCAGTGGTGTAACACGTGGGAATCCCCTTGAGCCCGGGCATGGTTAGGTGGGTGTGCTGAGATCTGACCAGAGAAACTCAAAGCTGTGGGCTCTTCAGCTTGTGCTACCATTTCTGTGATTCCCCTTCTTCTGCCCAGAGTTCCCTGGTCTGCTGCTGCTCTTAAATATCAGTAAATTAATTAATGTTTGACAAGGCTGTCAGAATAGCTTTATGGCCCCCAAATACCTGATACGGCACTAGGATGCCTGCCAGGCTTTGTAGGTGAGAACTTCTCCTGTGGCTATGTGAGATGGCAGAGTTTGGATTGGGAGGGCTGCTGCTGTAGATGGAAGAGACTCTCCTTTCAGGCTGAACAAGCAGCTGCCTCTGTGCCTCTTTGCTTCCTAAAACACCAGGAAGAAGGGTGTAAGTGGCTTTGTGTTTTCTGAGGTAGTTCAAACTGATGGTCATAATATTTCCCTCCGAGTACTGTGGTCGATCAATTTACTCCTGGATACTTTCTCTTTTAAATTGAGTAATGTTACACTGATCTATCTTACGCCTGTATGCATGGAGAGGATGTGATTGCAGAGGAGATATCAGCAAAGCCTCCTTGTTCCAGTGGCTGTACTTCCAGGTCACTGTGGATTTTTAAGAGTGCAGCAACACGTAGCATTGATACCCTTTGTCGGGACCTTAACAGAAAGTGCATCTTCTAGAGGCAGTATCACTTACAGGTGGTCACAGGGACAGAGAAGTGTGAGAGTGTCTGGGATCTCCTGAGCAATGACATGAAACATTTCCTTCTATAGACTCTGTTTCAACGCTGTGAGAAGCTCAGGCCACTGCTCTTTCGCCTCGCCAGTGAGACAGTTGATGATGATGAGGCTCTAGGTAAGCACCAATGCTGTCCTTGGATTTCTTTGTGGTTAAGTTTGTCTACCCTTCCTTTGACAAGTGGGGTATTCCCTTCCTCTGAGAGGGGAAATGTTCAGGAACATGCTACCCTCCTGGCAAAGCCTTCCATTTTCACCTTTAAGCCGTGCCCATGGGAATTGGCAGAGTCTCCTCCCTCCTCTTCTCTCCAAGGAAGCTATCAATTTTCACTTGGAGCTTCGAATTAAACAGTGAATCCAGTTTCTTCCAGCCAAGGTGGTTTCCAGAGTCTGGGGAGTTCTAGTGTTCACAGAACTGAAGGCTTTTGAGATCTTTTTTCTACCGACCTGTCTATACACACAGAAGGCAGAATATTTTTTAAATTTTGTAAGTATAATACCGAGGAAGGTCATATGAGCCAGAATCTTTGAATTCCATAGTTGTGAAATTCAGCCCTTCCCAGAGGATTGCATTTCAGCCTTGAAAACCTGACTGAAGTGATGCCTTGCTGAATAGACATCTTAAACAGCAACCATAAGAGCTCAGCTGTGCCTCACACATTTCATTCATACCAGGGAAAGCCAGGGTTCTTCAGCTGGGGAGTGCTGGATTATAGACACAAGTACACTCGTAAAACTTGTGGAGAACAACAAAGTGCATAAGAGATGGCAGGAACTGTAAGTGCTTTAGAGATAGGATCAGATTTCAAAGTGATCTTGATAAATGAGAGAGAGGCCTGAAGTCAGCAGATGCATGTGCAAAATGCTGCACTTCAGAAAATGGAATGAAAAACTAGACAGGATCCTAAGGCAGATTGCCCCACTAGACTTTGCTCCAGGAAAGTCCTTAGATGTGCCCTACCCTTCTTATGAGCAGTTTGGAGACCCTCGTGTTAGAACATCAATATTTTGTTTCTTCTCTTGTTTTCCAGCTGAGATACTGCAGGCCAATGACAAGCTCACACAGGCGCTCGGACAGTACAGGCAAGTTGTAGCCAGCCATGAAAATGGTGGGGGAGAAGATTCAGCCACCAGTTCTGCTGATGCACCAGGTAAAGACCCTCCTGCAGCATTCTACAACAGCTCCGCTCCTGCATGTCATGTATGAGTGGAGTTTGGAAGGGAAGTGCTTCTCGGAGAATAAGTGTGGAGAAAATCCTGTAACACAGGAAAACTACTATTTAACCATCATTTTCTTTTACATGTGGTTAATAGAAGATATTCCTGAAGTTCTTCCCCTCTGTGTCCTTTTGAGCATGCCTGTATTTCTCTTTAATTCTTTCTGCTGTTTCCAAAGCCTGCCGGCCAGCCCCAAGACGCATGAAGAGTTATACACTCATTGACTTCTCTGAGCTGGAGGCGACATCCCAGTCTCCTACAGACCAATCTGAAAATACAACCGCCGCCTCCCGCCACAGCAGCACAACCTCTACCTGTCTGCTCGATGAGGAGTTCAAGTCATTAGGTTTGTATGTGCAGTTCAGTACAGTGTTACCTTCGTTACTAGGATTCGTGGAGTTTAGTAAAGATGGGAGAACTTTGACTTTAATGTCAGTCCTAAGAGAAAGTAGACCCTTTCAGGCAGTGTCATAAGTTTTCAAGAATGTAGTTTCTTTAATGGTGTTAGACTGTAGTCAAACTGCTGTTAGACAACAAAGGAAGAACCTATGGAAAACCCTTGTTTTCTGTAATTGACGGGTGGCATTTTGGCATCTTTCTTAGGTCTCATCAACTCTCCTGTTGAACAGAAACCACCACCTGATTTTGCGTTAGCAGAGGTGAGTGATCATCAAGTATGTTAGTCCGTGAGGTACAAAGAAAAAAAAAATTAGACAGGATTCTTGATCTCCTAGCTGCTTCCGGTAGCCTTTTGAAATGCCACTTTGTTCTGAAGGGAAACAAGAATCCTCCTGCTCTGCAATGCAGTTTGCAACCAGAATGAGGTACAAAGAACAAAGATCAGACAGGATTCTTGATCTCCTAGCTTCTTCTGGTAGCCTTTTTAAATGCCACTTTGTTCTGAAGGGAAACGAGAATTCTCCTGCTCTGCAATGCAGTTTGCAACCAGATTACTCATATTTATTTCTGCTTTAATTAGTGTTATTAAAAATTAAATTCTTTTCAGTGGAACAGGTCTGGTTTTTGCTGATGTTATAGAGCATGAACCAGAAGTGTCGTATTTTTCAGCCTGCTGTACACAACGGACATGGTGAAATCCTAAGTGCTGCTCAAACACTGAGACCACAGGAGAGCTGGGAAGACAGCTGTTCAGAGAAGAATGAACTTCAGAGCCTGGTTCATCAGTTCTCTCCACCATCCAGGACCAAGACATTATCTTTGTAAGCAAACTCTGCATAATACAATCTGACTTTGGAGATGAGTAATGCTGTTGTACAGCAGTGAGGTTTAGGAAAGCCTTTCAGCTACAACTGGTTAGTGATGGCAAGCTACCCATCCGCTGCTGGCTCGTAAGCAGCAGTTACACACCTATTGATTGTACTTTGTGTAGTTGCACACTAGGACCTTCCAAGAGTCAGAAACTTGGGAAGACAAATCCTGTGGCTTAGTAACAAGGTGTTCTTGAGCTAAAGGAATGAAAACCTTGCAGTCAGGTCTTTTTATAATAACCTGTCACTCAAAAACCACTTTACCCAGCTTTTCTCAGGCTGTGACAAAGTAGTTTCCAGGCATTCAGTGGGAGCCTAACAGTTTGTGAAACAAATTAACCACCCACAGGTCTTTAGAGCAGGTGGCCATTATGATATGCTTACCCAGTCTGCCATAATGTAGGCCAAGAAATTTTACTGGAGGTTCCCAGCTTCTTGCATTGTCTTTGAGCTAGAACATATTTTAATCTCACTGACTAGAGCTCCAGAGATTCTGTGCATAGGGAGAGTAAACCTCCAAAGCCCTGAAAGAGTTTCACGTTAGTACCAGAAATCAAAGTCCTCCTTAATGAATGGTGAAACAGCAGCTTTTTCCATATAAAATAGAGACAGTTTTCAAATTTCTCAAGAACTCAAGAGAGTGTAAGCTTGTACTTTCTTTATACCTAAAAGTGATTAGGGATTTGGAACACCAAATGGACACAGCAGAAGATGGTACCATACCATGTAGTCTCCCCAGTTAATACAAGTTTTCTACATGCTTTTCTTTCCAGGGATTTATCACCAATGAAATTGCCCTTTCCAGATCCTCCAAATAGCTCAATGGCAGATACTTCATTCTCCAGCCTAGGCTACGAGCTGAAGCCTGCTGCCTCTTTGCATCCAGCTTCTCATGATGCTTCTCTAGAAAACCTTTTTGTCCCTTTAATTTCAATTACACCAAGTAAGTGCAATGATTTCTGTGCCCCAGCTCTGCTTACTAGGGGCTTACTAGAGCTCTTCTGTGATTTTTGCAGAGGAGCAAGCCAAAGTAGCTTCATGCTGTGTGTGTTGGCTGGAGAAAACTAATGACTGTTCTATGAAGGACTTAATGTATCTGAGGATCTGAGCACATGCTAGAGATTGTACCATGGTCTTAGCACCTTTAATCAAGCTTCCAGCAGTTTTTTTCCAGAGGCTTAAAAGATATCCATGGCTGGGAGCTGTATTGCTTGCTAAAGCAAAGCTGTTTTTCCATCTCTGCTTTTCAATTTAACACTGTGTGGCCCGGCCCTGCAAACACTTGATGGAGTGTTACCCTGCGTGCGTGTGTTGTACCCCCAGTGTCTCAGAGCAGGGCACGTCCTGTTAAGAGGACTGCAGAGCCTTGGCCATCGCTACTTTTGGGAGAGGACGGGTGCGAAGACATTCTGACCTGATTGTTTTCAGACTTCAGCCTCAAGTGAAGGATTTACCAATTTTTGGAAGGGCTGGGTGGTGATAGCCAGGTGTGGATTTACCAGTCAATGGTGATAAGAGCTAAATCTTGTATGTGTTAAATTTTATTAACACATACAAGTTATATTTTACTTTTCCCATTGTATCTGTATGGATTCATACCTGAAATCTCTAGGTGACTCTTGAAGTCTGAGCTGCTAGACTCTCCATCTCTAGACATTCAGATTCCTTTATTCGCCTTTGATGCAAAATGTAAATCACAGGGAGGTGCTATATGCTGCTAGGTCTGTGGGTTTGTTGGAGAAGCTAAAAGTTTGTATGTATGTTTCCTTTTTGCTTATCCTGTCTTTGCTGTTCTGCCCTCAGAAGGGAGGGGAATCCATGCTTTGTTTCTGATTCTCCTTTTGTCTCTGGCAGGCAGTATCTGTCCACTTACTGTGTATGACAGAAATGGTTTCAAAGCCATGCTCCACTTCTCCAGAGACCCTGCTCCTGGTCGGCCAGATGTGCTAGTGATGGTTCTTTCCATGCTGAGCACATCAGCTCAACCAATTAAGGACATAGCTTTCCAGGCTGCAGTCCCAAAGGTGAGAAGCCTGTGACACGTAGCAGAGAGTGGGGACTACTCAGAAATGTCCTGAGGAGAAAGTTCACCATTTCTTGCTTAGGATTTGCCTTGCTCATTGGAAATTGCATGGCTCCTTTTCTCTGAATGGTGAACCTGGTGTTGGGTGGTGCTGCCTGTCACCCCAGTGCCTGATTTACAGTGTATCCCTGGCCTTGAAGAAGACAGGGCTCCAGACACGCTGCTTTAGCCTCCTGGGTAAGGCACTTGTTTTGCCTGTGTATGTGCAGCGTGGAATTGTCCTAATTGTCCTTCCTAAATTGTCTATTTAGGAAGATCTGCCTTTAGATGCAGGCAGTAAAAAGTCCTGTTTCTCATTAAATAACAAGTCTGACATATCTTTAACCAGCTTTGTGGCTTGGTAATACTCCTAGCCCTTTTCCGACAAGAAGACAGGGCTCCAGACACACTGCTTTAGCCTCCTGGGTAAGGCTGCCTGTGTATGTGCAGCGTGGAATTGTCTATTTAGGAAGATCTGCCTTTAGATGCAGGCAGTAGAAAGGCCTGTTTCTCATTAAATAACAAGTCTGACGTATCTTTAACCAGCTCTGTGGCTTGGTAATACTCCTAGCCCTTTTCCCGCATGGATCAACAAGCGTTCCTTCTGTTTTCTCTTTCAGACCATGAAAATAAAGTTACAGCCAGCATCTGGTTCTCAGCTGCCTGCCTTCAGCCCTTTTCTCCCCCCTGCAGTGGTATCACAGGTCCTGCTCCTTGCCAATCCACAGAAGGTATGTGCAGTGATTGAGTCTGCTGGTGGAGCGCTCTGAACGTCGCTGTAGTGGGTGGGGTATTTGTATGAAAGGTGGGGATGTGCAGGAGAGAGACAGAGCAGTCTGGGCTGTGCTGGGAAGACATTTTTCCTACTGAAACAGCTTCTCAGAGCTATAATCTGGAGGATCAAATGGGCAGTTGCTTCAGGGCCCTGCATAGTTCTGCTTCAGTCAACTTGCTCCTGGTAGACATTGCGCAGGTGTTTTGCCACTGATGGAACACAAGGCCACCCAAGGCACAAGCGATGGGTGGCAGTTCTGTTGCATTGATGAATAATTAGGAGACCAATGATTGGTGTGAGGAATCCTCTGTCCCTGAGAAGGCTGGCCAGACCTGGATTGCCGAGCATGCCCCTGAGTGGCTTGCACAGGTCTCCTGGTGGCTCCCAGTCACTCCTTACATATCTTATGAAGAACCAGGTCTTGTTCTGTGTGGAGCTTCTGCGTGGGTGAAGTGTTACTCTCCCCGTTCAGAGGGTTTTTCACTGCAGCAAGGCTGTGAGGGGTGAGGCTGAAGGGGGCCCAGGAATCTGCAACCATGACATTCTCCTCTCTCTGTTCCTTTCTCTCACAGGATCCCATCCGACTGAGATACAAACTAGCGTTCACACAAGGTGTGCAGCCCTTCAGCGAGGCGGGAGAGGTGACTGGCTTCCCAGAAGCAGAGCTCTGGGGCAGGAGCTGAAGTTCAGCAGGCTTGGACATTGCCATATTGCCTTATGTGTGGTGGACGGGGAGGGACTGTGTGCCAGCAATGACAGCCTGGACTCCGTAATGGCTCCTTTCCCTGAGATCCGCCATCTCCTTCTGCCTTTTGGTTTCTGTGCAGGTGTCTGGCAGGAGGAGTGTAAGCCGGCTGCTTCTGCCACAGCATTTTTCTGAAGCTGACCCTGCTTTATAGAAGAGACTTGCAGTCCGGAAGCCTTAATTCTTCTTCCATGCAAGTCTTTCCTGCTGCTTTTCTGGGCCAATTTTTTCCCTGTTACTTTTAATTATTGAATTAAAAAAAAAAAAAAATAAAGCAAACATATACCAACAATCAGTCCTTGCAGCAGACTGCTTGGAGCCAGGATCTGGTCCTCACTGCGGGAGGAATGGTGGGAGCTGGACTCCCTGGACTCTGCTGGATGTGGTTTGTGGGGAAAGGTATAAAATGGAGCGAAGAGAGTAAATAAAACACATCCTCGGCGACCAGCCTGGGACAAAAACCAGCCCACCATCTCCCAGCTCCGCCATCCCCGGGGCGGGGGGGGTCTAGGAGTCCGGCCTGCGGCCCTGACAGCCCTGGCCTTTCTTTTGGTGCTAATTTGCGCTCTATTGGGCAAATTAGAAACGACCCCCGCGTCGTTTCTCCACAGACACTGCTTCGGGGTCGCCTCCCAACGCCTTTAAACCGGTGCCCAGGCCGCTCCAGGGGGGAGACACAGGCCCTAAAGGGGGAAACAGGCCCTGGGGCCGGGCGGGCTTCCCCGTCGCCGCCGGCCCGGCCCTGCCCCGCCC